CTTAACTGTGACCACACAAACAGATAGGCACAGGACACCGAAAGTAAAGGGCAAACAATGTTTGTCCCTCGAAATATTACAATGACAGTTGTATTTGTGTCGACCGCTTGCTTTTACAGGAAAGAGAGATATGCCACGTAATTTGCACCCATAAAAATTTCTTATACCCCCTTCCAAAGTAACGCCTTATTTTCCAAGTATGTTTGTTTTTTTGTTGTTAATGTAAAGAAGAGGGAAGAAGAAGGATTCATACCCCCGTTGTTCAGCCACATAGAGGATCTAAAAACTTGAGGTTTTGTATTCGAAATTTGTCGTTGATGTGAAAGTCAGATTTGTGGTTAGGAAAATGCTGAAATGCCTCTGTGAGTCTTCCAACTCCTGAAAAGAGTGAATAACCGTGGTTTAGTACCAGTTGTTATTTTTTTAAATAAAATAAAATAAAATACCTTAACTAAATGAGTTTGTTCGGCTATTTTAACAAAAAGTTTAGTAAAAACTCACCAAATTCAAATTCAATATTTAGTTACACATTACATTTTTTATACACATGTACTAAAAGTTTCTTTTTGTGTATCATCCGATTGAAACAAACAGATAAAAATAAAAGTAATTCTTACTTCACTATCCTCATATATTGTGGAATTTCATTTTTCATAACTAAATTTATTTTATTTTATTTTCATACCAAAAGTTTTATTTTTGTGTCACTTTCATTCTGTCCTCAACATTTTTGTCAATTATTCTATCCTTAACATTTTTGTCAATTGTTCAATTAACAAATTATGTGGGAAGATGACTCGCCAACTTTGTGCATCGCGGCTTATTGATTTGGCCATATTATGCCAAGTGGACTCAATTAAATAATAAAATATAATTAATAAATAAAATGATGAGCGTTACTATCACTTAAAAATAGTGAGAAAACTCTAATAATTAATTGTTTTATATGTTCATATGGGCCTATAGTTTCATGTTTTTGCATAATCTTTGTCTAATAACATATCACGTTATCAATTAATTGAGTTCTAAACAGAAATAAAAGAATAAAAATATCACAAAATTTAAAGTTTAAATATAAAAAGAGAATGAAAAAATTTTAAATATAAAATTTTACGAAACTTTACAATAGTAAATTAAGAATTATTTTAAAAACAAACAGCGGTATATACGAGAATCCCAAAAAGAAAATGTAAATATTTTCTCACCGTGAACTCTATATATTAAAATTAAAATAATAAAATACCGTGAGTCGCCTGACGAGGAGTAATTGCAGAGAGGGCAGAGAGCTTAGCTGTCTCGCTCTCCGTCTTATCTTTCCTGCTCCCTCCCTCTTTTAAATCCCTTCCCTTTCCGTGTGATCACTCTCCATATTTCCCTTTGTTTCTAGAGAGAGAGAAAGAGAGAGATAGAGAAAAGATGACTGGTTTTGCAGAAGGAGAAAATGTCACCCTTGATCTTCTCAAGAACAAAATGGCTGAGTTTGCCAAAGCGAGAAACTGGGATCAGTTCCACAGCCCCAGAAACCTTCTCCTAGCTCTGGTTTGTTCATCTTTCCAACCCCATAAATATTTCTTCTGCTTTTTTTATTTTGGTTGATAATTTCTCATGCCATTTTTCATGTCCATTAACTGTTTGATATGTGTTTGTTTAATAATTTGGGTAATCCATGAAATGGGGAGAAACCAAATTAATAAAAATTTGATTGGTTTGCTATTTTTGTTCATTTTTTTTTCATATTTTTGCATTCACTTTCATCATGGGATTGTGAAAGATTTGACCAAATTTAACCACAGCTGACTCACTGTATTTTGGTTTTTGCATATTTGATAATAAACAAATTGGGGTTTTGTGGTTTCTGGCTTATTTTTTCTATTTTGCACGCGCTTCTTGCCTTCAAGTCGGTTCTTATTTTTGTTTGTTTCCAATTCCTTTTCACTCTCTTATCAAAACCCAAATTCAGTTTTTCTTAAAGTTTGTGACTTTGTTCGTATTAGAGCAATATTCTAATTAATCTAATCAATCTAATCTACTTAGGAGAAAGGAAATTCGAACTTGTTAAGCGGTGAGTGCGAAATGTTCAAATTTGACTTTCTATGCAATTTGGAAAGAGATGTTTTCTATTTTTCGTTTTTGTCATGTCAAAATCTTCAAGTGCCCCACTTTCTATGTTACCCTTTTCCCAAAAGTGCTTATTGGCCTTATACTTTTTGTTCAAACAACCAGAAGGATGTTGTTCATAAATTGATGCAAAGGTCTGGCCTTTTTGATGAAATCTCAGGTGTGCGAAGTGGGAGAGCTGTCTGAGATATTTCAATGGAAAGGGGAGGTTCCAAAGGGGCTGCCAGATTGGAAAGAGGAGGAAAAGCAGCACCTGGGGGAAGAGCTTTCTGATGTGCTGCTTTATCTGGTCAGGCTCTCTGACATTTGTGGTGTTGATCTTGGCAAAGCTGCCCTGCGCAAGGTCGAACTCAATTCCATTAAGTATCCTGTTTCACAGAAACAGAGCCAAACAACCACAACCACCGCCACTGCCACCAATGAGGAAATTGCACAGATGGGTTAATTTTCTGAGTGAAATTTTCTTGGCTTCCAAACACCAACCAAAAGTTTTACTTTTGCCGAGCTGTCAATACTATATTTGGTGTGTTTTGGGGGGAGTGTGTGGGGTTGGGGCTTAGGATAGGGAGCTTATTTAGGGATGGTTTCCAACCTTTCATTGCATGAGTCAGAGATTTTGTGTATCGATTCTCAGATATTTTCTTACTGTTTTGGCAGTACTGGTTCACTGAATGGAATCTCTCTGACAAATCTGATATATATGTTTGATGGTATTGTGTATATTTTCCTTCATAACATATGCTAGAATTTCCTGTTTATCCATCTTTTTTCCTTCTGGACACTCTTTGTCGATTTGATTTGTTTGTATTTATTCAATTTGAAGACGAAAGATGAATAGTAAAAAAAGAAAACGAATTAACGTGCGAAAATCACCTTCACGCAAGTGCAATGGTCAAATCTATTGATGGGATTTTACCTACTTTTTAAATAGTTCCATGCCTTGGACACTGGAAGTTGTTCACAAGTTACGTGGTATTTTCTCCAACAGGATCATTTTTTGAGGATTTTGGGGATATGTGAATCGTGTTTATTTATCGAACATTGTACGGTCAGTTTTATATTTAATTTTAAATAAAAATATTTAAAATAATTTTAACGGCACGATACACGATGAACGAATATGATTGTTAGATTCTTGAAATTCTCACAAAATGGATCCTCGCACGATGAATAAATAGGATTGACGGATTTTTGAGATCCTCACAAAAAAGATCTATCCGGGTTCGTATTTCCTGATGAAGTTATTCATGTCGATAGGCTAATGAGTTGTTAAAATTCTGATTTACTTTATGTCCATCCGATCAGACAATTCAACAACACAGTTAGTAACTCGAATTTGAAACATTCATCGAATTGATTCCTATTTGAATGTGTTGTATCTACGATTTTGTATTACGTTGCCGTACAATTCGGCAATAACGGGATAGTGTATCGTGATCAATCGAACTAGGTGAACTAGGAATATGAAGCATGTTGTTGTAATTAACTTTGCTAAATTCAATTCGATAAAACAACGAAAACGTGAATCAATTAGAAAAATATAACAACGTGACTTGAGAAACGGTGAAAGTGCAGCATGGATAGCTGAGAGCATGATACAAGTCATATATGGATATAGACATATGGTAAAGCCTAAACTGAAAGAAGCAGCTCAAGTGAAGTGAATGTTACTCAACGCAAGAAATCAACGAGGTTTAATGCAGACACTTATAGCCGACGCTTATTTGGCCACTAGATTTGATCCAACATAAACTATCACTCAGTTTAAGCAATTAGTTAAATTTAGCAGTCAAATATATGTTGCTATTGAGTGTATGTAAGTACTTAAGAGAAATTGGACCAAACTTTGGCACCTCCTTTCCCTTTCACCGACTGTGTTATCACAATCACAGGTACTTCAACCTCAAGGTAGTTGGGCGTATGGAAATTATTGGTCAACATTCACAAAAGAAGAGTGATTGTATGGCATACATCACACATCCAGCAGCGAAACGTGGGTTAGAGTAATTGTGCATCATAAATCGTTGTCACGACCCTAGAGTCAATATTGGTAAAGGTACGAAAAATAGATCTCTTGGAGAAATTTTTAAAGTAATTATTCAAAACAACAAATCACCTGTTGGGCGTCTAAAATATTGGATATAAGAGGGTAGTTGTATAAAATAATCGTGTGTGTTTCTTTTTTTCTTTTACTCAACAGAGGAAAGATCGACTTTAGACATCTTTCAATATTGACCATGTCCAAGGGAGTTAGCAAATTATCTTCTAAAAGTGTCCTTTGTTTACCTATGTGACACTTATATGCTACTCTAATTTTTTTTTTCTTTTTTTTTACTCCAACTCGCTCTTCAACCAATTCTTCAGATCTTATTCTTCATCTTAAAATATAATCTAAAGTATGCCGTGGGTTTGGTTTTATTTTACTAATACTTTATTAAACAATACTTTCTATTAAAATATACCGTGGGACTCGATTTGTTATGTTGAAGAAGTAGCAATTGACCTTGTAAATACACAAAATCAGTTGTTACTTAATTTGCTAATTAAATTGCTACCTCCACTGAAGATGCTTTTTTCCTACTTGGAGTAGCGAATTAATTTTTCTACTCAATTGCTACCACCCCATAAATTGCTCCTGAAAGAAAAAGTATAGTAAGACTAAGAGCTAATCCATTAGAATTGTCCATTGCCATTGGTGAATCCTAAGGAGATATGGGCTTCAAGTTCTGCTTTACTTCTTTAGGACCATGCCAATAATTTATTCCACACAGCTCCAAAATATTTGGATTGGGCTTTCCCGATAAATGAGCTTTTGGACTACTTTTTGTAAATCAAAGAGTATATCCTAGACATTTCTGTTGTAGGAGCAAGGGCATGGGAACTTGCAACGGAACAGACACGCTGTCTTAGCCAGTCGAATTCAACACTTTTTTATGTTTGAAAGTGGACACATTGAATTGTTTCTTCCTATGTAAATTTACAAGAAAAAGAAAAAGAATCAACTTGACAGAAACATTTCACAACACAGATGTTCTAGCCTCTTTTTGAATGCGAGGACGATTCTTTTCCCCCAAGTGTCTGAATTATAGCTTCCAAAAGTTTGATTTCCTTATCACGCTTGGCGATCTCTTCTTGTTTGGCACGCAACTCTTCCATGTGCAGCTCAAATACCTTTGAGGTGTTCTCGAGCTCTTTTGTAACTTCTTGCGCATGCAACTCAGCAGCCTTTTCTGCTGCCTCAGCCTGTCGTTTTTCTGCCCGAGCACGAGCAGCAGCTGTAATGGCAGCATCAAGTTCTCTTTCCAAAGTTTCTACCCTTTGTTCAAGAACCTTGATGGTTCGAGCTTGTTCGGAACAAAGTGAGGCTTTGGCAAAGGTCTCTTCTTCAACAAAGACAGCCTTTTTAAGAAGTAGCTTCTGGAGTGACTCCAAATTGAAAGCCATTTCTGTCAAATTGCCTATGGCTCCGTTCCATCTTTCGCTTCCTTTGCCCTTGTCCTCCATTTTCTTTCGTTTCCACTGCTTGAAGATGATCACAGTATCCTACTGAATCATGCAATAGCAATTTAAAATCAGAAAAAAATGTATTTCAAAATAACAAGCTGAAAAATCAACACAAAGGAAAAAGAACTAAGAAGAACAAAAGGGATATTCAGTAAAAGCAAAGTCACAGTGGCACGAATACACCACACCGATTACACACTATATTCCTAAGCTGAATTTTTTCAGCATTTATGGGAAGTTAGCCTCCTAAGTTTTGGAATTTGCTCCTATGAGCCTTCGTGTCTCTTGACTCAAATACAATAACCAAATGAAGTTTCAAGACATAAGATCCGAACAAAATTTTCAGAGACAACATGACACACCTTCTTAGTCTTTTGGAGTCACCATTAGAATCAAAACATGCACATTCTGAATATTTCAAGCATGACGCATCAACTTAAGCGCAACCAACAAATAAAACTGTAACCTTGGGTCAAAAATAGTAGTTTGACAGAGTAATCAAATTTCACAAATTCCATAAATAAATAGATAACATGCATCCCACACAACCCATAATACCATACTACCATTCCTACTCTTATTCATCTACCTCATTCCTACGGTTGGTCTACTCAAGGTTAGGGCTCTCCGCTTGCCTCTACTGCCCTTTCTTCCGTGTCAGAACAGAGAAAAGATGAGCAAGTACGAGAGAAGGACCACTTTTTTGTATTGGCGGGGTAGTAAACTGACTGTTAAACCCACGCTCTGTTCCGTGATTTTGTTCTTTGACTTCTCTAGTGAATAAAGAATAGTTCGACACAACATAATTTTGTTTAGCAGATACTGGATAAATCATACTGCTTTTGAGAACCAAAAGTAGCAAATTACCAGAAGCTATGTTAACGAAAAAATGGCCATCTGCTTCTGCTGCCCTACCAGAAGCCATGTTTTAGGCACAAAACTACAGAATGCTCAAGAACATTTGGATTTAGCACCAAACTAAACATCAAAACTGAATAATCTGCGATTCGAGGATCGAAAATTACCTACCACCTAAACAGCCAGCTTCTCTCCAGTTTGTACATTTACACAAAACACTTACCACCACATGAATTTCATTAGAACTTTTTTGGGGCAAAACATTTTCCCATAAAGTAGCATACCCACCATTCCTACTCTTATTCAAACATTCAGCTTCCAAACCCAACACAAATCACACACAATCACAAAATTGAGATATGGGTACTTGAGAGGAAACAAATCAACCTAATGCCAAGAAACAAAATCACAAAATTATCAAATAAATTGGGGTTCTGATCGGGAATTTGATTTGATTTGTTTTTTTTGGAAACGAATTTGATTTGATTTGATCCAGTAGGATTCAAACGCTGTTGAGTCATCATCAAAATTCAATACCATGAAAAAGAATCGCAGAATTACAAAATTGAGAGATGGGTTATGTTAGAAGAACTCACGCGGAAGAAGACGTTCTCCTTGAGAGGCTGGAATCAGAGTCGACGAAATACAGGATTCTCCTCCTTGTTGAGTAGGGAGAAAGGGTGAGGTTGGGGGTTTTGAGATCCAAGGGGGCGGAATTCACTTTTGGTCCCACTAATTTACTTCAGGTTCCACTTTAGTCCACGTCATTTCAGTTGTATATCTTATTTTGGAAAGGGATCCTCTCGGACCTCTCCGGATCCTTTCTTTTCAATCCACCAAATCAGTAAATCCGTGTCTTTGAAAGTTGATTTAATGACTGAAGTTTTTATAACTTTTAAAGTGGGTCTCTATTTGTAGTCGTTTGATCAAATTTCAATGGTACGGATCTACTGATTTGGTGAAATTGGAGGAAGAGATCCAGAGGATCCCTTTCCTCTTATTTTAACCCATTAATTTACTAATGATTTTTTATTTATTTATAGAATTTTGTGTTTATGATCAAAATGATTCATTTTATAAGTCACTTTGTAAATATATCTTTTAAAATTAAAATCGTTTAATTAATCAACTGTAACAAATAAATAAACGGTTTATAATACGTGGTTCTTTAAAAACATATTTTTGCTATGTCTTGAAAATGAACAAAAACTGAGCCTTGTCCTTAAATTTGCCAACCTTTACCCATCCCATGAGATTTGTTTTTTTATTTTTTTATTTTTTTTATGTTAGTGTACTGTTGTGGCATACTATTTTAGTCGGTATCTTTTTCAAATGCAATTTTAGTTTTGGACAGTCGTGTTTGGGTTTTATAGTAGGGAATTTTAACGAAAAGCTCATGGTATTGTTCATTTTAACGAAAAATCATATTTTTACACTAAAAAGTCAATTCTTGTACTATTCACTTTACTCTTTATTTTGTCCTTATCGTTAAAACTCAAAGTTTTCAAACCATTTTCATAAAATATCTTTTTCATTGAAAGAAAAAAAAAACAATGTAAAACTGTATGCATTTTATATCTACATAAAATAGTCCACAGGAGAAATGTACAATCCCTAAAATCAAGCAAGTTCTGGAATAAATCAACCGATGAGCTAGTTATAACTGGACATTAAACTCACCATTCACAAAATCAAATTTAAAACCTCATATTTACAAAAAAAGAAATATCACTTCATCGTAATACTAATAGAAATTCCCAAGTCTTTAGAACATCCCTGTGTGCAAATAAAAACATGTACCGATCCCTCTCAGGCGCATGCCGCATAAAGCTGATTACAACTACCGGCCTGCATGTTGTACTCAAATCAAATCATTGATCTAAGCCATCTTTCTGATCAAGAGATTTCAGAACATTTTCATGCCGCATGTCGAAGCGGCGGACAGATCAATAATCTAGTTAATTAAAGTTGCCTTCATAAACTTAAAACCAGAGATGTAGATTTGTGAGCAAAAAAGATGTTTAATCTCCACATCGACGAGTGGAACTTACTTGCGACGTGTTTATACGTGATGAGTAAGACATGAACAATTGGACTTCAAACTCGTGACGTCCCGTTAGTAACACGCCTCACTACAAGTTCACTAAAGGGATTGTCTTTTGATCATAAGCTGACTGTCTTTTGATCAGAAAGCGTTCCTCTGATCATGCTTACCATAACCCTAAACATAATTAGAATAAAGTTCCTTCTAAGGTACACTTGTTTATTCCACACTGGCATCAGGCCATCAAAAATCATGATTGCTGCCATCATGACTAATCATCATTGTTAACACCATCATTTCATCTTTAATCCACACTATATAAGTAATTAGGAATGAGCATCACAAAATCACTAAGCTTAAAATTACATAACAACAATAGGGATGTTGAGGAGAGGTAGTGTCACCATATCTATGTTGTCAAATGCCACCGTGTTGGTCGGCTGGTGCCAGCCACGGAGGCAGCTGAGAAGACGGAGAGGCTGCACCGTGTGGCTAGGGAACAAGCGCCGACGGTTCAGCCTAGGGTCTCGGCTGGTTTTACAACTGGAGGATGTGGCCGGCTCTATTTGGATGATAAGGAAGATGTTCATGAAGATGGTGCCTAATGAAGGGTGGATAGACGCTTACAACTGGTCTCTGCCGATTTTACGTCCCCAAATGTTTCCTCTTTGTTAGTTCTGCAACTTCTTTTGGCTTGTTTTTCATTTCTTGTTGAAATCTGTAAGGAGGTTCATAACAAAACCTCTCAATTGAAAAAAAGTATTCTGTTTAAAATTGACACAAGCTAAATCGAATCAGGCTTCTAACATTAAGCGAAAATCGAGCAGATGTTACATGGAGATCTTCAAGTTTACAAGAAACTTCGCAAAAACCAACTGCAGAGAGACCAACATGTTTGACAAACATGCTAAATCTCTGATTTCAGTAAACCAGAAATTAAAATACAAGACTACAGATACAACACAAAGGATAACTATCTTGCCTAGCCAAAATAGAGGAGGGAAACCTAGCAAACGATGATGTTAGGCTGATGAAGCAGAAACGAATTTGTACAACACAAAATTATCAACCTGTGTCCATATACGAATGGAGCATGTTCTAACGATATCTGAAGTTCACTGCATGCACAACTAGCTTTTACCGAAGTACGAAAATAGGGTAGGTTGCTTGTCTAGAGAACTCTTCGGGTTAACTTTCTTCTTCGCCAGACTAGCAGATTTCTTATTCGTAGCAGATTTCTTATTCGTTACATAAGCAACTGGCTTAGAATCAGCTGAAAATTCTTCATAGTCTCGCTTTGCTTGGCCCTTAGATACACCTTCTTGAGACAATGTAGACACATTACATTTTGATTCATCTTCACATTGTTGAGTAGAGTACGGCTGTTCTGTGTCCTCTTTGCTTTCAGGTTCTTCTTTCACCATTTTTGACAAATCTTTCTTTGCAGACGTGTCATCAGAACTTGTGTCCTTTGGGTTTAATTCTTCTTTTTTGGTTCCCTTCGCCGAAAAAAACTTTGTGATGGAATTATTCCTCTCGGTCTTCAACTGTATCTGCAGAAAATAATACAACCTGTAACCAGTCCTGTTAAATCTTAATGAAAACAAGATTCCAATCTCCGAAGTGGAAACCAAGGCACAATCACCAAACCATGAAAACTCGATATGCCCCAAAGAAAGCAGTGTCACTGTTTTGTCTATCAAATCATGCAACACATGATATGAAGGGGAAAATGTAATGAAAAAGCCAGTCTTTAAAACTTGGGTGGGGAATGCTACATCATGATTCTCTTGTTAGGCAAATTGTCCATGAGACCACCACCTTAACACCTTTATCTTGTCACTTCTACAAAGTTTACCTTCTATCGGAACACCAGCTAAAGGATTACGCAAGTGCAAGAATCATTTTGTCTGATTCAAGCTGGCAGTGTTTCTCTAAAAGAAAAAAGCTGGCAGTCAAAATTTCCAATTTTGCTGTGTCGTAGAGATTAAAGTGAAGATTATTGCCTTTAAGTCCCCCTTCATATTTTTCAAATATAAGCATCATGTACATAAAAGAAAACATGAAACTGCCTCACCTCATTGATGCACTCTGGCCCATCAAAAGACACCTTACCCATTGCCGATGTCACCGGGTACCATACCTGGTGAATAAAAATTTTAGCAGTCAATAAAATGTACTTTCAACGTTTCATACCCAGATCTTTGAATAGTAAATGTTATGTTTCTCCTTTCTAAATTCAACAACCACTTACCAAATCTGGACCTTCAAATGGTTTAAGTAATGAATCAAAATTGGATGATGAAGAACCATCTAGCCATGTGTCAGTTGATTCTTTATCACCCAAGATAACAGGCATCCTGTCTATAATGATAAATTAACCAAAATAGTAGAGAAATGCTACTCAACTTTGGCAAAGAGTGCCACAGTAAGAATCACTGCGACAATTAACTAGTGGGAGTAAAAGGAAGGGACTTCACACAACAAGGACTAAATAGTAAATACAGAGCTGAGCCAAGAAACTGTAACTAGAAAATTACTGTGTATATGTATATGTATATGTAGTAAAAATAAGAAATCACTCCAAGTTAATCACATCAGCATAAGCTAAATAGTCACGCAGTAATTCATAACTTAGAACTATCCACACTTATTATGGTATTTGAAATGTAGTAAAAATCAACGAACATGAGCAGGACTCACCATGCAGCCACCCTAAAGCTGATGATGAAGAAGTTGTTATGATAGTGAATGTGTAAAGTTTCTCTCCTGCAGGATAACGTACATTGGAGATATCAGCACCTAGAAACAAACTTACTTTAAACTTGACAACTACTGACAAAGAAATTTCAGATAAAGTCAGTTTTGAAAACAAATTATCATCGCCTAGACCAAAACAAACAGACATAATAGCAAAACATATTAACAAAGGCGGTGGTCATGGGGAGGGGATTTTTCAAACAAAACAGTTGTCATTAACTACCTTCAGAGTTCTCCCAAGAATCATAAAGAGCAGCAAACAGAAGAGGCCTGCCGTCCTTGAAATGGACATAGTAAGGCTGCTTTTTAGAACCATCTTTTTTCCATTCATAAAAACTGGAGGATGAAAATTAAAACATGAAATAAGAAACCACTATATGATACTAATCAAACAGCAATTATGAAAGGGAAAGACACATGGAGTCCCTTCAATACAACCAACATTGAAAAAAATGTCGCAAACGATAAAAAGCATAGTAAATTGAATCATACATACCCTTCAACCGCAACAATGCAGCGGCTTTTAGGAACCAAACGACGAAAAGAAGCCTTTTCACAAATGGACTCAGACCGAGCATTAAACTGCAAAATTTAGCACAAACCAAATCATGTAATCATCCAACAAAAACTGTTTAATTTTACCATTCATTCATAAAAAACCAATCTTTCTCGTGTCGGTCATGAAAAATTGAAACTTGAGACACATCATATAGATTGAAGTTTAAATCACCACTCATTTCCATAACATCCTTGCAAATCTCATTAAATTAATATAAACAATCTATTAATCAAAACAGTGGCTGCTAATGCTAATGCTAAAGCTATTACCATCCTGTAGAAATCGGGCTTTTCGGTTTTCTTGGTGAAACTAGGAATTAGCCCCCATTTCATACATTGAAGAACGACGCCGTCGCCATCGGCCCCGTCTTCTCTCCGAACAA